TTGATAATACATAGATAATACATATTATATTTGCATCTTTATGTTCGTATATATCAATAATACAGAAAAATTGTACGTAATTTGTTGGCAAATTTTTTGTTTAATATAAAAATATATGTATAATATTTACACAATTATATATATTTACATATATTTGCACAAGAATGTTTTTTTAAATAATTTTTGAAAAAAACATAATTTTATATATTTCTACTATAAATTGTGCAATTATTTATTTAATTTTACATGCCTCTTTACGGTATAAATATGTTATATTGTTAATAATCTGTTAGTCGAATAAATTGTTTTTTTTTATTGTTGCATCAATGTTACATTAACATATATCCTTTCTTCTTTCACTATTTACACATGCAGCCATACCTGCTGGAATTCTTCAATTCCCATTTTATGGATTGGGTCTTGAGTAAGAATAGGAATAATTACTTTTATTATTATTTTTATGTACAAAAAATAATACAAAAGTATATATATGTACAAGTAAAAAAAAATGTAAAAAATAAATAATAGAAAGCGTAAATTCTTCGTAAAGTTATTATATACAATAAGAAAAAAAAATTTGCATTAAAAAAAAAATAATTGCAGAGCTTTAAATTATGGCGCCATCGGCGCAATACTTGGACATGAATTAACTCACGGATTCGACCCTTTCGGTCGGTTTTATGACGGTGACGGAAATTATCGGCAATGGTGGACCGATGAAAGCATATTAGAGTACTCGAGCAGAACTCAGTGCTTCATAGATCACTATAATACTTATTACGAAGTTGAGGCAAGTCTAGTAATCATATTGCAAAGCGTTTGGTATTAAAAAAGTTTATTTAATAAGACTTGATCTTTTAAGAAATAAAAGAAGTGATAAAATAAAACAATAAGAGAGAGTTCAAGAGAGTATTAAATAAATAGATATCATAAATAATTTCTAAAAATTTCATTTAAACGTTATTTAAAATTTAATTAAAATATTTAATTGTATTAAGGTGATATCTTTTTAATATTGAACATTTTATATATAGCCTATTGTAAATTATATCTTAATTTATGTAAGAGTAAATTAATTTTTATGTAAAAATTAGCTTTAATTTTAAGAAATTGAATAACCTGATCATATCGATGAATTAATGATATGTTTTGTATAGGTCGACGATTACATCAATGGCGAACTGACCTTGGAAGAAAACATCGCCGATAATGTTGGCCTTCGCGAGGCTGTCGTCGCTTACAAGAGGTGGAAGACACAGCATGGTTATGAGTCTTTACTTCCGGGATTAACGCAGTTTACGCACGAACAGTTACTTTTTCTTTCTTTTGCGCACGTAAGTCAACATTCCAGTTATAACATAGTAATTCCAATCTCTGTTTATACTCGTAGGTATATCCAAATAAACATCTCTTAGCTTCATGAAGTTTTCGAACGCGCTTGAGATAGTAAAATAAAAAATTTAACAGATTAGTTAAAAAGACGTTTTAAGTAATATTTTAAACATTTTTGTTTACATATCAATTTCCATATTCTTATCAAGTTTACATTTTTATGGAAAAGAAGTCGTTTTTAATCGTTGTTCGTCCATTTTTAAGTAAGGGATTTAATGATAAAATCGTTGTTTTCCTTAAGACTTAAATAGAATTATTAATAGAAAGGAATTCTGAGACTTGACTGATGCATATTCAAATTAAAAGTATATTTTTAAATTGTAAAATTTTTCGATGATTTGGTAATCAACAATTTATAAAACTAGTTTCATCTTTGCTTGTTTTTTATTTGCTGCCTTATTTAAATTCAAATTCGATTATACTAGATAAATATGAATTAAAATTTGCAAGATCAGTGACAGTAAATTACAATTGGCATATATTTTTATCTAATAACAGTAAATTAATTGATATTATCTACCTAGAGTTTATTATAATTCTGTTCTTTTAATCTACTTGACTTTTAATCTACTTTACAATATTAAAACTGTTCCTCTATATAATTGTATGGCATATAACACTGTAACATGAAAACATTTTCGCTTTTGCTAAATAAATAAAGAAAAGTTACCGATATCGACATACCACTTCGTTTTTAGATAATATTTCTTAAACAAAAAGTAAAAATAAAACTTTAAAAAATAAAAGTGCAAATTAAAAAGTATCTCCTATCAGATAGTATTGTATAAGCAGTTTTTATAATACTGTTTGCAATTTTACAACAATTAATTTTTTTTTATAATAAGCAAAAATGAGCGTCTGACAAAATAGGCTCAAAAACTGACATACTAAGCAATTATGCTATGTATTCCTATTTTTTCTAAAATTACTTTTACAGGAATTATTTGTATAAAGTACCTACAAGTGAATTTTATATGTATAATTTTTTCCAAAATCTTTTATTTCGTCATAAAACATTTTTATTAAATTATATGCATAATTTTTTATGCTGTTCTGCAAGATGCAAATATATAATGCGATAGTTTTTCAAGAGTTTTTTCATATATGCACGATTGCCTTCAGTTCCAATAGAGCTATTTGACACTATAAAGCAACATTATAAAAATTAAATTATCATGATCCGTTTTACAGACAGGTATGACGGTTAACGCAGCATCCCAATTTTTAATTTAAAAGTATTATGAAACAACTATAAAAAAAAATAATATAAATAAAACTGATTTAGGAAACCAGCATTTAAAACGACGTAATATTATCAATAATATAGTCACTATTATATGAACTACAATTTGCAAAAGAAAATCGGAAGAATTTTATTTTTGCATTCGTAGAATTTGTTTTTAGTTGATTTGGTATAGCAACAAATCACAAATATACGAATTATAAGTTTGTATTTCTTTAATTAGTTAAACAGATCATGATTTTATTAGTATTAATAAAGTGCAATAGTTACGAGAAATAAGGAGGGTATTTCTTTAGGAGACCTATGTCAAAATCATTATGT